TTCTTCTTATATGTTTTCTTTCTTCTCCTCAAAATCCAAACACTTCCCATTTATCTCAAAATCAAATCTCAGGAAAAACTTCTTCTAATTACTAATATCTCAAAAATATGGCAACTATTTAAGTTCACTAAATCTTGATTTCCTTTTCTTCTATAACTCTAAATTCCCATCACGCCTATATAAGTTCTGCGCGAGAAAACATGAAAGACAAACATCACACAGAAAATGCCGAAAGAGTTAAACACTATTTACACTTTCAAGTTCCCTTCTCTTTTCTCTCTTCGACTCTTTTATCCTCGTTCCCTTTCTCAGAATTGTAAGAACTATAACATTTTGGTGTATTTAAAGAAGAATCATATCCACGATTTGCTCTCTAGCCAATGGAAATGTCAAAAACATAATATGATTGTTCTTTAAATATACTGGAATATCATGATTCTTACAATTCTAAGAAAGGAAATGAGGACAGAAAGATCCAATTAATTCATGTTTTACTGGGTTTATACTTTGTAGTTTGTACTTATAGCGATTTGACTCCATCACTTGTCAATTGGGAATAAAAATCTATTTATGTGGAATCATATTCATAATGGGTAGATTCAATTCTATAGTCTGTATCGGTGAGCATTTATCAAAATTTCCTAATAAAAACACTTTCTTCATCATCTTTGTAATGTAACCATATACAAATGTAGAGTTGTTCACACAAAGTTCTTCATTTAAGAGCCAATTTCAAGACTCGAATTCAATTTGCTAATAGTGTGAATAATCTTTACACGATTACTATGATTTGATATATTATAACATGTTACTTACTTTTTAAATTAATTACTAATCAATGCTTATTATAAAGTGTTGCTTGGAATTCCCTTTTAAACTAAAAGCTGGATTGTGAAAATATTCTTTATACCATCGGCGCATATAAGTTCTTTCTAAAACGTAGGGTTTAACTTGCCATTCGATATATACCAATAATTGAGTAATGAATAAAAAATAGGACCTTCCAATTTTTAGTGGGATTGGACAAAAGCTACTGAATTTTCGTGAATCAATAAATTATATTATAGGTCCAACTCAATAACGGAAAAATATCCAGTCAAATAATATTGCCTCAAGTAATATTCAATAGCTATTTAGATCTATGTGTTGGGTTTTATGTATTTAATTATATTAAATACTTAAAAGATGGTGAATGGAAAATGGAGAGAAATGAAATTTTTGAGTGAAATTTTAAGTTTGTCCCCTTGGCAAAGGGACATTGTCCCATATTGGAAGAGGAAGAGTTTTTTTATGGGTATATAAGCAATTGCTTTTCTTCTAACTCTTAAAGGGTTGAGAAGAAGGCAAGCCTCGCGTCGTCGTCATCGTCGCTCGCTCGGCTTCGGCTTCGGATATAGTCAAATGATTGATTGATTATTTTTTTGGACAAAATTTATTTGTTAATAGTAAAATATTAACAGAAATGTTATTAAATATTTGTTTTAATAAAAGAATATTAATATTAAAATAAATATTAATATTAAATTCTCAATCCGTTTTTCTGTTTTGGTAACAGAAAATTAACTACCCTCTTCAATTTTCCCTCTTTATTGTTGAGCAAATAGCCATTTAAGTAATGGCATGTATGTTGTGGCCGTTTTGCATAAACAACCATTCTGAAGAGTTGCACCTCTTCAGATTTCAGCCCAACTTTGGCTATAAATACAACACTATTCTACTCAGAATTTCCATACGATTTTCTGAGTTTCTTCTCCTTCTTCTGCATACTTTTAGCATCAAACAAAGCAACAGTAAGTGTGATTTGCTACCGAACTTTTTGTTCGCTGAAACACTGGGGTTTGAAGTACCACTACACCAGTGTGTAATTCGTTCTATCTTGGGAGGAAATAATCCATAACCTTGGGTACTAGGAGGGGATTAAATTCCTTAAGGAAACACTGTGAATTCAGTGGGCTCGAATTGGTTTTATGTTATTTTGTTGTTCATTTCTGTTTATGTTCATTTATATTTCCAGAATTATTTTACAAATACAGTGTACTTGCTAACACTATGCCACGTCGAATATAAAATAACTAATGGCTACGATTCATATCAATTCCTATAGTTACCAAAAAAAACTAATAATGAAAATATATATACTAGCGGTAGCCGTAATCGATTCATGTTTATTACTTTAACTACAAATAAAGTAATATGCAGTGCTCTCTATAAATGATTATATTGGAATGACATTTCTTCTATGCTTTGAAAGCAATTTTACAAATAATACACTAAATTACAAATACAAGTATCCATCTTCTCTATTTACGTGGTGATAATATGCCAAATATTATCAAATTTCTTAACAATAATTTTTCGGAAAATTCATCTGATGCCCATATTTTGCTTTATTTTGCATTTTAAAAGTAAGAAACATGATTAATATTAACGACTGTTTTTTGAAATTTTTGCCAATTTAATTTTTTTTGATAAGTATAGGATTTAAGATGAATCTTAGCCATTAATTATTTTATGATCCCCATGACATAAATCTAAAAGTTTATTGAATATTACCTGAGGCAATATTACTAGACTGGATTTTTTCCCTCAATAACCACAATCAAAAGATTCAAACATGAGGTGTTTTTTTATACCATATATACCACTTCCTAGTTTCTGTTCAAGAGTACAGTCAGACCTATCTATAACAGTATCCTCATATAATAGTCATTCACTATAACAATCGAGTTTTTCTCGCAACCAATTATTATGTTATGTTATAATATATGTCCTCTATAACAACACTTCACTATAGCATCTAAAAATATCAGAACAAATAAGGCTGTTATAGAGAGGTTTAACTAAGGGTGTCTAACGGGCCGGGTCATCCCATTTCCAGACTGGCCCAGACCGGTTGAAACCGGAACCGGCCTGGACCGGTACAAGGGGGCCGGGTGGGGCTGGGTTAAAGGGGTAGGAGGTTTGGTCCGTTCATGTTTTGACAACCAGTTAACCGGACCAGTCAAAACCGCTCGACACAAATCATTTGTTCATCTGGTTAACCGGCCCAGACCGGTATAAAGGTAACTATTTTTTTTTTACTTGTGGGCCTAAATCTGACTATTGGCAACGGTCCATTTCCCATTATGGTTGTTGCCCAACGGTTGAATTGCACGAATAGCCCATTTTTTGTTTTTGTTTTTTAAATTAACACCCCTTTGAAAAACTATAAATACACTCCCCCTCTTCTTCATTTCTTCACTCATCTCTCATTTCTCAATCTCAAATTCTCAATTGAAGTTAAATCATGCCTCGTACTTCTAGAGTGCGCTCATATGTTTGGGAACACTTTGAGTTGGTGGAAGAAAATGAAGAAGTTCAGAAAGTAAAGTGCAAGAATTGTGGTCGAATCTTAAATCTTCGTCCAAAGTGTGGCACATGCAGTTTAAGGAGGCATATGAAGACTTGTCTTGAGCGTCCTCCGGAAATTCGTATTTAAGTTGATTTGAGACAATTTATGTTATTTAAAATTATTAGACATATTTATGCTTAATGTTTTAGTTTGTTAGATTAATTTGAAGTATTATTATGCATGAAAATTTAGTTTTACTATTTTTTTGTTAATTTACTTGTTAAATGCAAACTTCAATTTTGTAATTTTGAAATAAATGTAGCGCTTGCAATTTATAAGTGCAATTTTTTCTCATCTTCATTGTATTCTTTATATTTTTACTTTATATTAATATAACTTACAATAGTTATACAAAATAATAAAAAAATAAAAAATTACACTAACCCGGTCCGGCCCGGCCCCTTGTACCCGTAACCTTTACGGTTCAATTTTTACCCTGATGAACCCGAACCCGTTAAATCCGGTATGCCCCAACCTGTAACCGGCCCGGACCACAACCCGTACGGGTACTAAATTTCCCTAACCAGGCCGGCCCGGCCCACCCGTTAGACACCCATAGGTTTAACTGTATATCTGCAGTCACTAAAACTTCTATCACGAGTAGTAGGGACACAGAAACCATGACCTATACCAATTAAAAAGCATGTACTTACGATTTAATATTAGATTTACTATATATTAAAATAACATCACTATTAGCAAACAGGTTGCTGTGGTGTAGTGGTTATCACGTTAGTCTTACACACTAAAGGTCCCCAGTTCGATCCTGGGCAGCAACATCTTTTTTGCTTTTCCACATCAAATTTCTTCATTTTTAGTTATGATTATGTACACATTACTTGCAAAAGATACAGAATAAGCTATGCTTTGGTATTCAAATTCTTTTTTTCATTTTTCTTTTAATTGTTAGATCTTAGCGTGCTTTCTTTGGATATTTCAGAGGCTTGGCCCTTTTTTCGGTTGTTCCTATTGTACGTTAGATGGAATGATCTAGAGGGCTAAAAATCTTACCTTTACTTAGAGAGTGGTGTTTCCCGGTTCAAGAGAAAGTGAGAACTTTCCTTTAGCTACAGACCTTGAAAATATTTGTTTTGCCACTTTATTTTCCTCCACCAAGCTCTTCTTATTTACTTGCTTAGCTTTGCAAGAAGGCACACATGCTTTTATTTTGCACTCAAAACTCTTACCATTTTCAGTGTGCTTTATTTATCAAATTCTACTGTGCTTTCTTTGGGCATTTCCTAGTATTCTCCTATTTCAATTTGAGGGCATATTGCATATAACAATGGTGAAATTTCAAGGCCAATTGTGAATGTAATTTTCCCAGCCAGACGTTTGTAAGGGAAGTTAGAAATCTCTGGGGGCAAGTGGACAGATAGTTATTCTTAGGGATGCTATTTAGAGATAAGCCAGTACTTATTTTGCTCTGAATTTTTAACTAAAAATCTCAACTTCAGGACAATGCAAAACATTTTTGTCCTTAAAAACTAAAATTCAGGACGCATTGGCTAATTCCTAAATAGCAGCCCTTTAGAGTGGCTACCTGGTGTCATTTCTACAAATCTCTGTTGCACATTTTAAAGAATATGAGCAGCTGCTGAATCAGGGGAAAGATAAAAGTTCTCTCTTATTTCACTATGCTATTCCATGTCAAAATCCAAATACATCCTATAGGCATTTCTATCTGAAGAGTAATAGCCCTCCACAAGAGTATCCACTTGAAAACCAAGTTTCTTGTATAGCTGCATTGCTGGAGTCCTTGTAGGATCTACATGAAGTGATATCCGATGAACATTTCTTGTTCTGCATTTCTGCACCGCCGCCTTGAGCAATTTTTCTCCATGGCCTTGTCCCCTGTAATTCTCTTTCACTGATGTTTATTTCCAGCCCCAGAGGAAGGATGCATCAGTAAACGTACGAATATATTTTATTTGTCAAAAGAAAAAGGAAACACTGTATATGAACTTCCCTCTCTATCTCAATTTGTGCTGATTTATGCAGCCGATGAGAAAACAAACAGGAAAGCGACAGGCATGTAGTATAAAAAAACCCTTTAAACATTTAAAGAAGTTACAACAACTATGCCTCAGTCCAAAACAAGTTGGAGTCGGCTGTATGGATCCTCACTAACCATGTTTCTCCATTTAAATTCTTTAAAGGTTAATTTTATTTTATTTTTGGGTAAAAAATCATGATAACAAATTTACAACCATTGAGAGAACCAAAGCAATTCTTCCAAAAGCGGAAAAAAAAGGAAAAAAAACATCACAAGCAAGAAGGTTTTCTCTTCTATGCAAATGATGATAGACAATGCTTAACTGACCTATCAGGAATACTCAATAAAAATACCAATTCACCTGTTTTCTTTCCCGAGCAATTTAATATGATGAGGGTCAGAGAAAGATTTAACTGAACTCTCCTGCAAAATTCCTTAAAAACAAACTGCTAGCTATTTCAAGGTTCAATGTTCCTCAATAGTAGCTAATTAAGCTTTAGTCATCCTAATTTGAGTAGCAGGTTAAACAAGGTCAGATTTTGGTCAGCATGAAATACCCTACCTAGTCATACAAATCCTCAGTAGCCAAACTAATGATTATGGATGTATTTTCAATGCCGATGGTGTCCAGGCCACAACTTACACAGACCTAAACTATTCCACAGAATACCTGCTACCTCTCACTAGCACCTGTATCGGGTTACTACGGCAGCATCTCTTTTACAAATTACAACTGCTAAACACCCTGTTCAATTCTTTGTTCCGGAGGTGCCAACACATCATTATTAACATATCAGCTTGCTCGAAGAGGAAAAATGCATGACACTTCTCTAATTTATTAGACCTGGATCCTTCATAAAATGCTCATCCAATCCAGCTATATTGAAATGCATTGAATGAGCAAAAGCAACTTTTCTTACCCATCTGTTCACACAGATTAGAACTTGTTGGCAAATGCCTTCAAGCATGTTCTTCTTAGAAAGACAACTTGATTACAGATTCAGGCTCTCCGAATAAGTATCTTTATCTTTTGAATGTTCAAGCTATAGTCACATTCACACTACTGATTGTGCTTTCTCATATGCTACGTCACATCAGACATGAGTTCCTGATGAGTCATGATCATAACTTTCTATCTGATCTCACCAATTGGTCCTATCCACATCTCACCCAGAGCTGGTGCAATTCCATGAATTCAACTTCTTCATGCCAAAATTAGTTCCCAACCTAATTGTGAGTCACATTGGTTCAAGTTTCATAGACCAGCATGTCAACAACGATTACAAGCAGAGTAATCTTTTGGGAAACTAAGTAAGTCCAGTGATTTACAAATCCTTTCTCCATCCCAAATTATGATTACCAGTAGTTGCTCAAGTTAGAGAGCTTACAGAGAGGCAATAGTTGCCATTGCCAGTTATTAATCTTATAGGCTGTGGGAATAAGTGCCGCAGAATAGGCAGCTATTGCCTCCGCTCTTAAGCCTAGAGACTCATCTTCATTTAGTTTACTATTCAACTTCCCCCACTCCCTAGTTGTACAGGTACGGACCAAAAGCTTCCTCTATCATATTGAAGAAATAGCTAGGCAGTAGAGCTAGAAGAAGCATACCGCTAGCGTGAAAGACGGGCGGCTTCTCTAGGAAAGATGGCCCAATTCCTCTTTATTTGTTTTGATTTCTGCTGCTTTAGCGCGTATGAAATCATTTACCAAAACAAAAAAGAATCCTCCTCCTGTGGTCATTTACCTAGCCCAAAACCATGCTCATGGGAGAATAAGTATTTTACGTGTGTTTTTTAAACTTAGTAGCAATTTAGCTGCAACTTCCAGTTTACACTGTGAGATAGCAATCAATCAAATGTTACTTGGTAATTGCAGCAGAATAGTATCTCAACTTCCCAGCAAAACATTTGGATGTAGTCGAAAATTACACCTTAACTTCAGTCCCAGACCAGAATTTGGAGTGTTACTATAAAAATCCCGACCTCACAGGGTAGGGCTAAGGCCTACGTACACACTACCCTCCCCAGATCCACTTGTGGGAAATCACTGGGTTTGTTGTTGTTGTTACTATAAAAATTCCAGTCATCAACAAGAACTGATTAGCCTTTTGACTTCATCCCTAATCCCACGGCATCAATTTTAGGATACCTCAACAGTGAATGCATTTTATCTTCTTTTATATTTTCAAAAAGCTATTTTTCTAATATCAGCTTATAGACTCCAATCCAAGAACAACCAATAATGACTACAATGCGTCACTCCCAGACAAGTTAGGTTGGCTATAAAAATCTCACTTACCATAATTCATCATTTAAATTATCTCACTCCAATATTAACTAGAATAAAAGAAAAATAAAGAGTATCAGAAGCTATTTATATTTTCTATTAGTATAAAAATCTCTAAATGGGCTAAAAGACTCCGAAAAAGCATAACACTTAAGTAATCATACCAACTCCAATCAAAGAACAATAAGATAAATTCAAGAATAAGACCAACTACTAACAGGAAAACTTAAGCAAGATGAAAAGGGGTTCGCTTTATTCAGACCTGCTAATTTAGTGATGCAAGCACAAAGGGAAGAAGGCCAAGAGTACATGACATAACCAGCAATATCTGCACCTACTTGGGTGTACAGCAACCCACTGTTCTTCTTTCTGAGTTCTTCATCAAAGGATCGAGCCAATGACTCGTGTTTAGGGAAAATCTTCTTCTCTATTCTCACTATTTCGTTAACTACCTTAGCCCAATGTGGTGAGTTTCTCTGCAGTTCAACTATCACTCCCGTTTCCATTTCTTGGATTTCCTAAAGTCTCTGATGGGTCTTTGACTCTGCGTATATAATAACTAGGTTAATAACAAAACTCAACTGGGTCACAAAAAATACTCCCTCGATTCAAATTTTAGGAAATTACATCCATTGACCCCAAAGATGAATGTTCTTGTTTTTTTATCCTTGCTTGTATCACGGACAAACCTAGGTCTAACATTAAAAATATTACTCGTCGGGCAAGCAAATAGTAACACTTGTTAGGCTTGAAATTCTCCCCACAAAATTATCAAGAGTCAAAAAATCAAAAGTGGTACTGAAGTATCCTATTTGTGCAAATCACCCATTCAATTTTAGGTGTCATAATAACTATAGAGTCAAAATGAGCTTTTTTAGACCATATTTTTATTAGTTTTTAAATATATTAAGCATCCTCTAAATATATTAATTTTAATTCAAAAAATTTAAAAATTTTATGTTTCTATTCATCCCGAAAAGTTTTTTAACATTAGCATATCTTAAAAGCTTTACTTTATTTTTGCAATTTTTTAAAAATATTTTTAACATTTTAATAGTTAGAAATATAATGTACATTGTTTTTATACTGTTTATTAGTATATAAATTAGTAATACAAAAATAATGTATAAAATAATTTTATACAATTTTACACATTTGTTTACTCGTAAACAATACAATTGAATTTATACGTGGTTTATCACAAGTGAATCGGTTTGATCCCAAAATGATAAATAAATTAAACAAGAATGTAAAACTTAGCGTTGAAATCGAGATAAGACAACAGAAATCCTGGTTCCAGGAGCAGAGCTTCCGGAGACAGTAATAACGATATTAATAAGCAAGAAGATAAAATATTGTTGAGTTTTGAACAGTGTATAGTATGAGCTTGTCAGAAAATTCTCCTTACAATGGCTGTTGAACTCACTATTTATAATTGTTCCTAGAAAATAAGGTTCTAGGATCAAGTCCCTCTTAAATGACGATTATGGGGGTCATTGAAGAATGTGTAATAGCAGACAATGAATATCATATTCTCTGTAACGGACTACGCAGTTAATGCTATAGGACATTCTCCATTAAATGTTATTGGGTGACAGACATTTATTTTGTCGTTATGGATATCATTCCCTTCAGACACAAACGGGATTGCTGCCTTCGGACCTGGTTGCCATTCGCCTTGCTTTCTATCTGCATTCGGCTCCACGTGTCACTTTATTATGTGAGCATTTAATATGAACATATTTTACCCTATACAGATAGTCCCTTTGCTTTCCGGTGGCACACATCCTTGTGTCACCGGAAAGTTAGTGAAGATAGCTTTCTTGGCGGGAAATTCTCTAACCCCCTCTATAAAGTTTTTGACGGTTAATTAGATGCACGTCTCTCCGCATTTAATGCCCTAAACACACGTCATCCCATGATTCCGCAATATTTTCGCTAGTTCTTAAGGCAATTATGGCCACAATCTTAGCCGCCTATATCTTTATTTATACGCATCAATCTTCTCCTTTTTACACTTCATAATTTTCTAAACTCTCTCAAACTCTCTTTACTCAACTCGCACAACTTCCTTTAATCTTCTTCTTCAGAGAAAAACCATTACTTCCTTCTGATAATAATGGCCTCCTCTTCCAGAAATTCCAGTACTTCAAAAAACAAAAAGAATACTGATGATGCTGCTCCTCCTACGGTGAGCTTCATTATCCCTAGAAGGCTTACTACAACTAAAGACTTCGAAGATAAGTACCTTTCTGCTAACCCCCCTCCCCCTACATGGGTTGTTTGGGTATATCCTTCTTCCATCCGTCCTTCTAGCATCCTTGCTCTGAAGAAAGACTATGGTTGTCAAAATTTGAACATCATTGCTCCTGACCTAGCAGAGTTGGTAACCTTCTCCAAGAAGGGTTTTACGTATGTTTACACTTATCCCTTCACTTTGGGCCTGCTCTCATTGGTTGGGGGCTTGACCCTGTTATCTTGGAGTTTTGCTTCCGTTACCAAGTCTGCTTGCCACATGTGAGCCCTTCTGTGTGCCAGACGGTTGCTTGTCTTCGGCGTCTATTCTAGAAGACGGGAGAAGAGTTATCCCTGGCTCGACTGATAAACTTTAGTAAACGTGGTTACCATGATTTGCTAACCAGCATGGACGATGACAACGACCGTGGATGGATGCGGCAATTCGTTGCAGTTTCCACCAGGGATATCATCCCGGCCACGACTCTATCCTTTCCTAAATCATGGAATCGTACTCGTAAGTTCATCGTCTGTCTTTCCTTCTATTTAAAGATTATTTCATGCTATTATTGATTCTTTTTCTTTCATTATTTCAACAACTCGGTGGATACCACCAAGGATTGAAGGCTTGGACCAGTGGATCCAGAAAATTTTGGATGTCACTATGCCTGAGACCCTCAAGTGGAAAGAACTAGCCCTTAAATACGAGTAGAAGGCCAAAAATCATAGTAAGTTGAACTTATCTTGTTTTTACTTTTTGTATAGGAAAATTGGTTAACTTTTCTTTCCTGTTGAATTTAGGTCTTCCGCAAGGCTCTGTTACCGTCCCCGATGAGGCCGTTTAGGTTGATCTTGTTGATGCGATGAGGTTGTTGCAGGAGGCTTTCACCTGAACGGGTGTCATCGGGTCTGCTTTCGGTGCAAGTTCTTCTTCTCGGAGTCCCCAGCCGGAGAACAAGCAACCAAAAAGGTGACATTCATCCACGACTTAGAGTAAAAATAAAAAGGCGAAGGGCACTGCATGCGAGCCAGCCGCAGACACTGTAGTGATCGATGATAATGGAGGAGCCAGTGATGAGGGGGATTCTCTACATAGAAGACGACGACCTTCATCAACTCAACAGAATGCTTAATCTGTTGAGCTAGTTACGCTAATCGAGGACGACCCGGTGCTCTGGGGGGAATATGTTGTAGTGGACGATTCTAACTCTCTCTTTCGAGTCCTAGTCGTCATTTTCGGTACCGTGAGGCTAGGTACCGGGTCTTTTCCGTCTTCTATTGATGAGCAACCAATAACTAGCACTGCTTTTGGTGCAGTTGCTTCTTAACCTACAACACCATCAACTTCATCTCCATCTTTGCCAACTTTGCCTTCGCCACCAGCAACGGCTACATCATTTCCACGGGCCACAGTCATTCGAAATGAGGATATCCCTCTTCCCCAGTCCCCAGTTCACGGGAATTTGAGGCATAATTATTTTGTCCCCTCCGAAGATCCTTAGAGGAGGAGGAGTATTTCCATCTCTGTTTCTACCGGATGCCATCTATTTTCCCGGCCGGTGAAACTTGCTAATCATCTGAAGCCTCTGGATTTAGAGAAGGATAGAAGTAAAATACAGTCTCTCTCGGGAGAGTGTATGGTAAACAATGCCATGCACAACGCAGCGGCGGTATGATCTTTGTTACTTGTGTTGTTCCTTCTATCTTTATTATGGTAGGATTTAATTTGTACTTCTGTTTTGCAGGCTAACTTCCTTGCTTCAGAGGGCCTTCAGAGGTTAATCCTTCACAAGGAGAAACTAACCTCCGAGCGAGATCAATATTGTTAGCCAAATGGGATCAAATTGCTGCTCGACTCTCGGAACTGGAAGCACAAGCTGCTGAGGCCGTTGAGTTGGAGGCTTGGTTGCAGCAAAGCGAGCAAGAGGTAGTGACCCTTAGCCAAAATGCCGCCATGATAAGGGTACAATTTGAAGAAGCTAAGGCAAAGTGGGTTGAGGTTCAAAATGTCGTTCTTGCTGCTGCCGTTCGCGAGGCTGCCTCTACTGAAAGACTAAATAATTTGAAGGCAATCTTGAACTCCAAAGCTAAAGAAGTTGCTGCTGCTGAGGAGAAGTATGCCCGATCAGTGACCTTGATGTCAGCCTCCAGGCCGCTAGATCCGAGTGGGATAACCTTTCGACTAAGGTTGACTGTCTTAAGGAAGAACTTCGATGCCAAGCGGCTTCTCTCATAATTGAAAAAACATATTATATGTATAGCATGAGGAGAAAAATCTTGGAAGAGGCCAAAGCGGGCATCATTGACCTTGATGCCGAAATTGCCAAGGCTCGTGAGCTGGAGTTCTACTGCCCGAAGGGGTCTTCCGGTTCAACCTGATGGTACTGACTCTTTTGGTTTCGGTTCCGAATTCTCGGGAACTGAAGAAGAACCTGAAGGGGATAGTGGTAAATGCCAAGATGGTAAAGGCCAAGATCTTGAGCCAGCGGCGAATCCGCCTACTTCTCCTGGGGGTGCAGATGCTTCTCTTCCTCCGGATTTTAGGGATGCAGTAGCTTAGCTTTTTTGCTTTCTTTTCATTTTGTTTTTCTTTTTCATACTTTTGTACTTGTGTTGTTTGGCACGTTTGTTGTATATAGAAGTATTTTTTCGTTTAAGTATTGCGCAAGTTTTTCTCTTTGCGTACTTTTCATTTAAGTATTGTGCAAATTTTACTTTATTGCGTCGAGTTATGCGAGGCTTTGGGTGTATTTTTTCCCGATAGCATTTGAATTCGGGGCATAAGTTCTTCCGGAATCAACCCTTTACCATGAGGGTTTCGTAAGAGAGGACCCTCATATGTTTACGATGCTCTTGAAGAGGACGTCTCCTGTTTATTACGGCACTAGCATTTGAAGTACTTGTTTAATTTTCAAATAATAAAATTAACTCATCGATTGGACAAAAAACAAGATAAAAATAAAAGGACTTACTTTATTCCTTTTATTTTCAAAAGGAATAATACATAATTACCCGGGTCGTAGCAAATTGATGCACCCTTTAATTTTCGGGGATCCTATGACCCCTTATATTTGTTAAAGGTGTAATAAATAACACCTTTTGTTACTTAGCATAATCTCAACTAAAATAGTATATGACACGCACCAATTATAATTTGACACGTGTTTTTCTTTTTTAAAACTAAATAATTTCTTTTTATTGCTATTTATTTTATTTCTTTTTTTTTTTTCATTTTATTCTTTTCCCCAATCCCTCCTCTGTATAATCCCTTTCCCGGTTTCCCCAACTGATTCTTTCTGCATCTTCTTATTTTCACATTTATATTTCTTCCATTTCTTTCTTTCTTCTTCATTCTTCTTTTTCCACTTTCAGTTTATCTCGTTTGTTTCTTCATCTTTTTTTTTTTCCGTTCTATCCCTCCGTTATTTTTGAAGAATCGGCGACGGCAAA